TCCTATCTCTTTCCACTGTTTTTTGACTATTTTTGGGCCATAAAAAACTATGTTTTTGTGGGCTGAAATTGGTGTTTTAGGCTATTTAAGGTTAGGGGGGTATCTCACCCTTGTTTATTCCTTGCTTGTAAGGCTTTTCCACCTTTGTTTCCTACTTTCAAACTATCTCTTTTTGGGTTTTTGAGCATTGAATTTCAGAGTATTTTTAATGGTAAAAATCATGTTTTGAAGTCCAAAATTAGAGGGGTTAGCCTCCCCTCCTCGTGTCTTGTTTGCTAGCCTAGTTAGCTCTATGTGTTAACTTATTTTTCTAGCCTTTTGTAACTTAATTCCAGCGTGTTTTAGGCTCTATTTTAGACCGTTTTAACTCCGTTTTTGGCTGGTTGTTGCATTTAAGTCTTGTTTTGCATACCTCAAGTGTAATAGTCCTCACAAGCTTGGTGTTTTAAGCCTTTAGGCACCTCTTGTTTGAGTTGATTGCATGTTTTAGTGCTTTTCTCACTTCATTTTCAGCACTTATAATCTCTTCAATCTCCCTCATTTCTTCACTCTTTATTTGCTTTGAGGGTTGTTTCAACCTTAGGATCGTTTAAGCTTGAGTTTGAGATTCATTGCTTAATGGTTTAATCCTCTTTTGGGGGTTCATTACCAACGGCATGACATCTCTCTCTTGCCTTAAACTACCCCATGTTTGACACTTCCATCCTTTTAGAAGACTTCTCGCCAATGGACTTAATTGGTTAAAGAATGGGTTGGTAAGTTAAAATGGGTAACTAAAAATTTGAAACTAAAAGTGTGCAAGATAAGAAAATTGTTGTGTTTTGATGTGTTCAATTGGACGTTAATTGAACATAAGGAAAATTGGAACATTTCATACTCAAAGTGATGAAATGTGCCAAGTTTCCTAGGTCTCCATTGCCCTTGATCATGCATGATAGGGTGATGGTTTTGAGTCTTATTTGCGCATATATTAACTTGTACAAATTGGTTCCTTAGCCATCATGCAATGAAATTGCTTGATTGATGGTCTTTGAACCAAGTGTGTCACTCCTTTGAGCTTGTTTAGATGATAAAGAGGGATACACAGTACAAACAACCATGAGAATACCCTCTTTTTGCTCTGTTTGCTCTCTGTTGCAGCAAGGAATGGAGTGTCATCAGTGGTCGACCGGCTACTATTACTAGCTGGCAGGTCACCAGTGTTGGACGGCAACCCCTCAATGGTGGTCGGCCGACCACCACTTCTGGCCTGCCAGCCACCAATGAATTTTGAGCAGTGTGCTTGTGAAGCATGGCAGAGTTGATCTGCAGAAGGAAATGGTGCAAGGGTTGTGCAACAGAGGCCTTTAGGGGTAGACAACATATGTTCTTTGAGTGAAAACCGAGCATGCATGGGCCTTCCTCGCTTCTCGGGACTAGTTAGCTAGTTAAATGGTTTAATTACCAATTAATTATTTATTTGTTGTTAGTTGTAGCTAATTAGTTTGTGTTGTAATAATTAAACTAGCTTAATTAGTTGTAACTAATTAGTTTACTTATTCAATTAATTTAGATCAATCTAATTAGTTTGTGTTGTAATATTTAATTAGCTTAGCCTAGTTAAATTTTTAATTAATTAGCATAGATAGTTAGCTAATTACTCGTTCAAGTTTTGTAATAATTAGCTTAATTAGCTTATTTATTCGGACTCTCCTTCGTGAGAGTGTGATGTAATAATGTGTATGTCTTCCAACCCCACGTCTTTCTCCCTTTTATTTTTCCGCTTTTGATGGTTAGATTAGGGACATATTTCAATTAGCATACCTTATGCTTGCATCCATTCATCTTGTATTGCATGCACCAAGGCTCGGTGTATCATTCTAACTGCATTATCATTTCAATACTTCGTTGAATACGTGCTTAGACTACATGTCTCGAATTAATTCATATGCCACATTAGTAGCTGAGCCTAGTAATTGCATATCGCATGTGTTGCATTAGACATTTAACACATTATGAATCATGCATATTTTTCTAACTCATATCTTCTTGGCTTGGAGTACTAAGTGACACTACAAGAGAACATACTTTTTGAGTCGGCAGGTTACTGTCGCAAAAAAACATAATTGCCGTCGCAAAAACTTTTTGCGACGGCCTTTCGACGGCATGGTGAGGGACGAGAGTACGGGGGTCGCTAAAACTTTTTGAGTCGGCAACTGTGCCGTCACAGAATATTTGCGACGGAAAAATGTATTAATTGAGACGGTATCCTGCCGTCACAAAAAAGACCAAAAAATCACTACTATTATTTATGTCGGTACATTACCGTCGCTATAGAGTTTTTTGTGTCTGCAATGTGCCGACTCTAAAAAAATTCACCTGTACATTGCATAGGTTTTTTGAGACTGTTAGTTGCCGTCACAAAAAAATATATATATATATATATATATTTTCATAAAAAAGTTATTTCTTTTTTGTAATTAATACCTGTATTATGTTCATTGAAATCTAATAAAAAAAATGCATTCAATCAATAGACATTCATTCATTCATTCATACTAAGTGAGTTTTTAGTGCTTTAGCATACTTGCATGAGTGTGAGTGATTGTCATGTCTAGCATGCTTGCCCTGAGGCCAAATGCTTACTTGTTAAACTGCTTGAATGCTTGTGGATGAAGGCTTATTGTTTGAATTGGAACGATTCAATAAATGTACGTTTTTTTAACCCCACTATGTCTAGTGGCAAATTCGCAAACTTTAAACCCACTTGAGGTGGCAAAATCAAACATTTTTCACAAAACAAACATGAAATTGAGTTGTTCTAATTTGAGCAAACTAGTCTTTACTTGTATGCACGTATCACGTAATAATGTTAGCCTAATAACTGGAACAAGAGCATATAATGTTGATAAAAATCATATCATGATTAGTAGAGGCTGATCTTTGATCGGGCGAGCGGGGCTCTTAATTCATGACCTTCCCCTCTCGTATTTAAGTTCCTGAGCCGAGGCAACTTTGGTGATGTCGAACACGTGGCCTTTGGCACGAGTCATGGGTTTCCTAAATTTCTTCAAAATAAAATATTTAGGTGGTGACTCTATATCAGGCAAAGCAGTCCAATTTTGGCATTGCAGTCCAATTTTGGCATTTTTGATTCAAAAATCAATTTTCTAAAAGATTTGTCGGATTTGGACTCTTTGGTATTTATCAATTTCACATTACACTTGTGAGATTAGATTCAGAACCGCGGGAGTCCGAATTGTAGGGCTTTCTTTCGAGCTTCCGAAAGGGGGCACGAAAAAGTCAAGCTACAGTGTTGGGGAAGGATATTAGCCCAGTCCTGTGGCGTGAGTTTGAGGTACTAGTGCGGCTCGGAGATATGCGTCGTGCAAGTCGAATAGAGTTTGTCCTCGGAAGACCAGATGCAATCGAATAGGAGCTCGATCGTGACTGTAGAGCTCGGTTGACTCCACGATCAAGAATTACCGATGAGACTAGACAAGTAACACAGTCATAAGGTGATGGTGTGGCGCCGCACTAAGCATAGCTCGGTGGGAAGTATTACGCAGCGTGACGGGACTACAGGAAGAAGATTCCGCTGTTCGTACGTATCAATATCGTTTGGCGGTTTCGTTATTTGGTATTTAGCTATATTAGCATTGACACGTGGGGGAACGTAAGAGGAGAGCTGGTCCACGCGTCAAGAAGGGAATGGACGCAGAAGCGCCTGTTGAAACTATATAAACGATGTTGTTCCTCCATACATAGTCTGGAACATTTGGTAATCAGAGCTCTCCTACCACTTTGTCTCCTCTCTTTTCTCTCTCTCTCTAAGTGTGCTAACTTGACCGTCGGAGGGGTTTTCCGGCAGCACACCGCCGGGTAGCTCACCATCTTTGTGTTCTCAGGTCAGTCGGAGGAAAGCGCAGCTTGAACACGAGGAATACAGATAGCGTCGGATATTTGGCTCCCATACAATGTGGATGTTGGGCTGTAAGATCTTCTACGACAGCAGATGATTCAAAAATTGCATACAGAGTTACAATCAGAGTATACAACTCATAATGAGGAAATCCAGCATCAACAACAGTGAAAACAGTGTTTATGATCTGAAGTAAATATGCAACGAGGCCAGCAGCTGGATTATCGGCAGTTGAACCATGTGCAAGAACAGAACATGCAGATTATACAGAGTCTTTGTACTTATACGCTTTCGTGTTATATATTTCATCAACGGGATCGACCACCAGTAAGTTGTACTGGATTCCATCAATCAAATTGTCTTTCGTATTCAGTACTACTTCTGTTCATGGGTTTGCTTTCCTCACAAATCAAATATACAGTTGACATTTTTGCTTTCAACTTCTAGTCTCAGTTCAGTTCACTTTGTGGGTATAGGAGGATCTATCAAAAACTACAAAGCACTCCTTTTTGTATCATTATTACCTTATTCCATCTGGTTTGTTTGTTATTTCAACTTATACGTTTGAGTCCTCGGGAATGTGTTTCGATATTAGTGTGCCTATTTTTTACTTAAAATTTTAGTAAGCTTGATTTTACTCAACCCCTTTTTATCTCTTACACTGTTCCACTTCCTTTTCTAATAAATTCACTACTAGAACACAACTATACCTACACATTAATACAACTAGTCAATTTGTCTCTTTTTTGCCCTCATGTTTTTGGTGTATTATTTTACAAGAAAATAGCATGACCTATTGGAGGAAGTTTGTCACAAAATATTACGATCCTCGTACTAGGAAAAGTGGTGCAATGCCAATTGTTCTCTCGGTGCCTCTCCAGATGAAGCTACCGTTAGTTCTGAGTTTTGTGCATATTAATACGGAAGATCATGCATATATCCTTTTCTTATCTGTTCTTCGAGTTAATTGCTCATATGACCTTATATTGTTATTGGTTTCTGCAATTAGAATTGGAAATACTTGCTTGCATATGAATAATCTTCTTTGTTCTTTTCCCTTTTTTCTTAGTGCATGGCAATGTGACGTCTGCAGTTTGGGACTGGGGAAGGGGATTGGTGAGTATGAATTCTCGAAATTACTTACGATTGCTTTCAAGTATTCAAAATCATATGAGCAAAGCACAATAATGAATCATTAGAGCAAGAAAATGTTGATCAAACTTGTAGTAAGCAATTACTAACGATTGCTTCTAATTATTTTCCCTTTCGATATTTTTGTCTTGTGCAACATTGTTTAGTGCTTCAGAATTAGATAGGCTTTTTTCACTAGAGAACAATGTATTGAAAAATAATCACAGACAGTGTTTCCATTTCAAGCAACTCAAGCCCAACCATAGAGAGCTTGATTAATATTTTAGAAACATGGACATCTAATTTTACAATGTCAAAACAGATGTGAATGTTTTGATTCAATGATGACACTATATCAAAATTCGATGATTTGGTAATGAGCACTTAGAAAACCATTAAGATGGTTTCTCTTAGTTATTCCTTCCTGGAAGCATACGGAGTCTGATTCCTAAATCCTCAGCCGCTCTGATTTCGTAGTTTCTATTATTTATTTTTTATGCTTATTTATTAAATCTAAAAGTTGGGAATTAGTTTTTTTGGGCAGAGGAAATTTTTGAGACACTTCCCAGCCTAATTAAAATCAAATTTGACAGTGGTGTAATTGACAATGACTTGATTTTGGACTTGCCGTGTACACATATACTACCATTTGGAAGGTTCAAGTTGAGCTTTGATAAAGCGGTCCAACAGAGTTCTTACAGGCAATTTATTGCTATTCGTAAGGGAAAACTCTGAATTGTATTTACTGAGGAATTGAAGGTATTAAATTACGAGGATTTATACTAATATCTGTATAGTAGTACCTGCTAATATTTTTACTTTTCATTCTTGTACCAGATATTGTTTTGGGAATTTTGTACATATCATTACGAAGAGTTCGTGCATCGTTCACTGCTCACTCAACTGGTATGTAATTATGTCTCATTTTGTTTCAAGCTCATTGTGTTGACACATTATGTGCACTGGCTAGAACTCTGTAAGGGCAGCACCTAAGAAACACGGACACTTTTAAACTCGGACAGACTTCATACACTTGGGCAGGGGATACGTATGTCCATAACTTAAACAAGTACGAAACAAATTATAAATTTGAACAAAATAACTTAGAGAGGATACAATGATAAAAGAAAAACTATAGATTTATACCTATTAATCCCTCATCTTTTAAACTTCAGAAATTAGTGATATGTTTTTTTTTTTTTTTTTTTAACAAAATAATAAATTATAATAATTTTATATTTTGTGTGTGTCACTCACTTGTTGTGTCTTACATTTTTCAAAATTTTCATGTCAGCATCTGTTTTGCATCCATGCAGTGTTCATGTTTGTGTATTTTGTATTTTCTAACTGATTTTAAAAATACATATATTCATTTTTTAATCGGAATCGCTATTGTTGTTTATAGACAAATCGCTCAGATGAGGTTTCGGAGATATCCCAAACCCAAAATGCTGAAAATGAATCAGATGGGAAGGCTGTAAACGGATCACAGACAAACTACATTGTGTGAGTCAATTCAGTAATCAATTTTGCTAGCATATTTGTTTTAGTGCTAATTGCAAAGTTAATTTGGCTGTTTTCGTTAACATTTCCCATAAAATACCATACGACGACTAGTGGCCTGAGCATTTAACCATACCAGTGAAGCTTCAACACATGATTGATAGTTTACAAGCTGTTCTATGATTTGCTCAAGAGGACTGAAGTTTTTTACAAATTTTCCTAGCACTGGTTAAGTGTTTTTATGATTTGGGTTTTTATAGATGAGACCTAAGTTATTAAAATCGGGATCGTACGTGGGACCGTTGAAAGGGGCTCGTGGATCGGATCGTAGAATCAAATCGAGGATTGTAAGATTCTACTATTAATATGAAAAATTAATATAATGATAATATATGTTACGTAATTTAAAAAAAATTAAAGAAAAATGATAAATTTGATATAATGCATCTTTTATGTTAACATCAATTATAAGAGACGTTTGAAAAAAGTGTTTATAGTCAAATTTTTTATATAGATATACACATAATACATAAATATAAAAGAAATAAATAATAACAAAAAAGATTTGTTAGGATCGGGATTGTAGTAGAATTGGAATCGTATGCTATTCCACATGATTTTATGAATAGGATCATAGTAACTTAAAAATCCTACTAAATTTAAGATCCTAGTGTAATTCAGATCATTTGGACTAATTAAAATTGTAGAATCGTAAGATCCTATGATCCGGATCGGAATTCTGATAATCATGAATGAGACGTGATGTACAAATTCAAAATTCTTCAAATTATGTAATCTTCGATTATTGACATTGGTAAACGTCCCAAGGCAATTTGATTATAAGTCAATTCATTACCAATTCATAATTGAGAAGTATTATTTCCCCGTCATTCTTCATCAATGTTTTGATACAATTTACAAAGCTAATTGATTTTGCTTCTGTCCTCTGGTGCATATTTTTAGGGAGAAACTTCACTTTACCCTTCGGTGGTTTACTCCATATGCAGTTTACTCCCTTGCATTTGGAAATAAGCATGTAACCCTTCGTGGTTTGTAAACTAAAGTGCACCATTAGGCATTCTATCCAAGATAACAAGTGTGAAACACGTGCCTGAATATAAGGGGGTTATGTGCTCATTTGTAAATGTCGGAGAGTGAACTACACCTGGAGTAAAGCACAAGAGGCTAAAGTGAATTTTGTCTCCCAAAAAATGATGAAAATAACAGTGGTTTGCATGATGAGATTACTTATGTACAAGAACATTTTAGTCTTTTCACTTAAGCCATTAACGAGCTTGATGGTACACTTCAATCCGAAGCCATTTATCTTGCTATGTTTGATTTTTTTTTCATGTTTAATTGTAGGTCACAGGACACCATATCTCATTCAGAATATAAGTTGGTTTCCTCAACTGTCCATGGCTCAGGATTTCCTAAATCTTACTACCAAACCTGTCAAGTACGTTGGATCATGCTTCATGTTGTTTGTTCCATATCTGAATCAGAAGTCACTATCTCTATATGTCATTTGCATCTTTCTCATTGCATTCATTTCCCTTCAACTCTTTACAGATATCCGAGGTTGTTCATACTATGACATTGGATCGATTGGTATAATCCTGCTACTTCATGTTATTGTTTTAGGATCTGTGATTTCACTAGTTCATCAAATGAGCCAAAAATTAAAGCAATTTTGAGTTTCCATTTCAATGGTCTATCATGGTATTGGGAACTTTTTGAAATATTTGTATACAAGCACAATGCCTGGTGCAGTGGAAAAGCACCGCACCCCCAGGCTGTATATGACACATTTCACCCAAGTTTTTCATTTTGCTTTCCAAATTCGTAATCCAAATACAACCTTATGGTCATCCAGCTCATTAGCCCTGGTGATGATTTCTTAAATCCCATTCCCTCATCTCACCCGGACCCAAAAAAAAAAATTGTTTGTATACTTAATTGCACTAGGTTTCTTTTATTAATACACAGCTATGTTACACGGACTTGGATACAAGTATCAGATGTGGGTGCATGTCTAGCGTAAGGATCCTCTAGAGTATAGCCCTGCAGCGATCTCCTAAAGTAAACAATCCAACGGCTGAAAATAAAACTCACCAAAATGACGTCGTTTTGGTGAGTAGTTTGAAAAAAAAAATCCGGTCAGTTCAAAATTCCCTCCATATGGCTCAATTATACCAAACAGCGGGAAGAAGAAAACAAAGAACGAGAGAGCGAAGAAGAGATAGAGAGGCTGCTACTTCTTACACCTCGTCGCCCTGCCGTTTTGCCGTCGCCACTGTCCTGCCACCGCCGACCCCCTGCTCCAGCCGATTGAAGAAAAATATAGGTATTTAGAACATGTTAGAACAATCCCTGTGATTATATATTATAGGGTAAATTAGACTAACACCCCTTGAGGTTTATGTTTATTATAGCTCACCCCCTCACATTTGGAAAATTACGTTGACCCCCTGTTAATTTAATTTTATGTATAATGATCATTACGGTGAGGGGGGGAACTGTTATGAAACTTTAAACCTCCGGGAACAATCTGTAATAAAACTTTAAACCTCAGGGTGGAGAATGCAATTTCCAAAAGGCGATGGGAGAAATTGTAATAAACATAAATCTTAGGGGGTGTCAATGTAATTTACCCTATATTATATTTAGAACATACAATCCCTGTGATTATATTATATATATATATATATACATTATACAGTGAGAATTTCATTATATATATATATATACACAGTAGTTTAGACATGTATATAGATTTAGAACAATCCTTGGAGAATTTGATTATTTAGAACAGTAGTTCAGATATATATATATATATATAGATTTAGAACAATCCCTGGAGAATTTGATTATTTAGAACAGATATTCATTGTGATTATATATATATTATATATATATTATATAGATTTATAGATAGTTTAGGTATTTCCTGGATGAAATGAAAAATAATCCCTTTTTTTTGTATGGGTCTATTAAGTAGTTAAACTCAAAATTTCGGTTTACATATGTTTAGAACAGGTTTTCAAAATTTCAGTCTACATATGTTTAGAACATGTTTTTTTTATTATTGCACTTGGCATGCCTTGATTATCTTATTTTTTTTATTATTACATATGGTTCCTTTGATGTAAGAGTATTTTCTTTTTTCTTTTAGGTACTACATGGTCGTGGTCGTGGTCGTGTGGATCACACGTCAATATCTTAGCGTTGATTTTTTTGTGTGTTGGATATGGTGTTCGTGTATGTAATATTGAAAACCTTTCATGAAATGTCATTGAAATATTGCTGAATTTTTTGTTCAAATGTTGCTGAAACTTTGCTTGAAATGTTGCTGAAATTTTGGCTCAAATGTTGCTGAAATAATGCTGAAATTTTGATGAAATGTTGCTGAAATTTTGCTGAAAGTTTTGTTCAAATGTTGCTGAAACTGTTGCTCAAAATTTGCTGAAACTTTGCTTGAAATGTCGCTGAAATTTGGGTTCAAATGTTGCTGAAATAATGCTGATAATGTTGCTGAATGTTGCTGGAATTTTGCAATATTTTTTCATGAGATTTTGGTTCAAATGTTGCTAGAAATTTTGTTGACATGTTGCTCAAACATGTTGCTCAAATGGTGCCGGAATTTTGTTGACATGTTGCTCAAATAGTGTGCTGAAATTTGGTTGACCTACACCTGCTGAAATGGTGCTGAAATTTTGTTGACATGTTGCTCAAATTTGGTTGACCTACACCTGCTGAATTGGTGCTGATTGGCAAATAAAGCAACCATTATTTCAAACAAAGCAACCATTCTTTGTTGACAAACAAAGCAAAGGCTTGACCTGTTCACAAACAATTTAACCATTCTTTCAAAGCAATGCATCGAGTAATCCAAACCAACAAACAAAGCAACCAAAATTTCAAAGCACCTTTTATATATATCAATTCAGCACCTCAAAAGGTCTACTAATACAATATAACCCAGATATCAAAATATTGGTTTATACAATCAACATTACAACATTGTGCATTTCAAGTACACAATTTTACACTTAATATTTAGTTGACAAAAGAAGTCCAAATCCAAACTTAATTTACACTTTTAATATTTAAACAAGAAAATAAGAAGTCCAAATCCTATTAATACTATTACAATAGCGTAGTGCAACTTTTCCCGAAGTATACCATTTCTAGATTTTCCTTTGACTCTGAAAACTTGAATGTTGCTCTTGCCCCGCAACGACATTTTCGATTTCTGAACTGAATTTCACTAGTATCGCTCATAAATGCTTTTGATGTTGACATTTTTTAACCTGAAATAACAACATATTATAAAGGTGAGATCAAATTAGCCTTCTTCACCCATGTTAATATCTAGACAAGAACAATGGAACAACAAAAAAGCAACAATGGAACACCAATATCTACATTTAGTTCATCCCAAATCTTATACTTCCTTTTGTTTAAAAACTAACTCATAATTTACGAGAAAATTACCCCAATCCAACACATTTTCTAGAAATTAGGTGTAACAATTCCAACACATTTTATTTTTTCTCTCATTTTTCCCCTTTTATTTTTTCATTTCAGTCCATTTGCTTATGTTTTGTTGCAGAGGTTGTTCGCATAATTTGGTTTCTGATGGTAAGAAGATTTGATCTCTCTGTTTTTGCTTTTGTGAAATCTCGTAATCCAATCAATCTACATTTTTCAATAGGATCTCATTTCTTCTATTATGCTATTAATTTAGATATTTTGATTTTTGTAAAGTTCTTGATCTGTTCAATGTTACAAAATTATTGTTCTAATTGTATGATGTATTATGTTTCAAGGCCTCATTCGTTGTATCGACAGACTGGTGATTCAGAAATCAGTATAACAAATAGAATTGATTTCAATCATCAATAAACATATGTTCTTATTTACTGGCATTATTCTGTTAATTATTTGTTACTGTAAAAGGGGGAAAAAAAAAAAGATTATATACATAGTATATCTAGGATAGCTTGGAGTGAAATTACTAAATTCTGGTTTTCATTTTTCTTGTTCACGTTTCAGTTGCTATGAGACTTTCACTTTTAAAACCCAACGGCAGTGTACTCTGCACCTCCATCTTTTATAGTAGGGTCATAACATAACCTATTGCATGCGCAGAGTATTTAATTTTCACAAAGCATGTACAGTTCAGCAGATCACACTTAAACCATGCCTGTATGATTGTAGAACACAACACACTTACAATTCATAAATTTCTTTGATGATTCCAATCATCTACAGTTCGGCTCCTCTAAGCATAAATTTGAAATAAATCATGTAAAAAGTCTCAAATCAAAACCCTAAGAACATATTTTTTGATTTTTTCCCTAATTTTTGGAATCAAAGCCCTAATATTTGAAGTTTGGAGGATGAATGAACCTGTGGTTTTTTCCTTCAATCTGTTGGAGTATGGCGAGCCAGCGGCGTGCCAGCGGCAGCGGTGGTGGCGCGTCGGGGGTGGGAAACTCTCAGCCCTTCTCTCTCTCTCTCTCTCTCTCTAATGCTTCATATTTGCATTTGCAGGAACCTTCAATGTTTTGAATTGACTGAATTTTTTTTTTTTTTTTTTTTTTTTCAAACTACTCACCAAAACGACGACGTCGTTTTGGTGAGTTTTATTTTCAGCCGTTAGATTGTTTACTTTAGGAGATCACTACAGGGTTATACTTTAGAGGATCCTTACATGCATGTCTGAGCGTAAGTCTTCCTAAACTTCAATTTTAGGATATTGGGATATCCATAAAAAAATTAGCTATGGGTATGGGTATGGGTATGGGGACACATCTCAAACACTTACATATATTGCATATTGTATAATAATTTTAGATAAGATATAAATTATTTAGATATGTATTTCAAATTAAATGGGATTGATATCTCTCCTTCGTGTGAGTAGTTAGAAATATTTCTTTACTAGCAAATGCAAGCGCCTTCTTCAAACATCATAGAAATTCAAAAGATCTAAATGTCTAAATTGGATACGTGTCTTAGACACATATTTCACACTTTTACCCTTGTCATACAACATAATAAGGAGCTATAACGCACACGGACACACAGAGCTGCACTTGTAAATTAACTGTCACCTCTTGTATTTTTCTATTAAAATGCAACTTACTGTTTGCGAGCAAGCTTGCAAAACTGCCCTCAACTATACGATGCAGCAAAGCAAGGGAAAGTGAAGATGAAGCAGAGGGAAAGCATGCCTTCGGGTTCCACAGCAAACCAGAGCCACAATTCAGAGGTTACCAACGAAGAAAACTCTTCTTCTAGGTTTGCTGGAAACCAAAGTCAGGGCATACCCTGAGTTGCTGGGGAATTTCCGCATATCAAGTTCTTCGACGACTGGATATTTGATCCCGGTATGAACATACCTATCTAATGCACTAATTTAGTATGTAGATGAGTCTTTGCAACATCTATATTCTATGAAATACAGACACTTCATATTAGTTGTTGTAGTTGTGTCTGACAAATGTCAAATTCAAGGGTGTCTTTTTGTTTCCCTTATTGGACACATTAGGAACACATCACATACATGTGTGCTTTGTCTCGGAGCACGTTCTTTTACATGTTTAACTTGTGATGGATGATCATCTATTCATTATTAAATTAGATACTTTTGATATTTATGAAATTATGTTCATGATTGACAAAATCGTGTTTTGTATTTTGAAGAATATTTATATTATATATTGTAAACTGAAAAAACACAGATTATGCAGCGGATTAAAATGATCAGATCATACCTTCTTGATGATAGAACCTTCTTGGATAAATCACGTGCTTCCAGGAAACTTCTTGATGAACCAACCCAGCAGTGGAGTGATATCACAGATTGAATATCACCCACACTAACCACAGTGTCAAAGACTTGATCGTTGTGTTTTTGGGAGAGAGTCAGAATGTGGGTAGAAAAACAGACTACGTTGTTTTTCCTTTTTCTCAGATTACCCATAACCATATCAGATATTTAATATATTATAATATCTATCCATATCAGTTAAGATACAGATAATATCTAATATATATTATATCTATCTATATCAGTTCAAACTGATAACGTCTGTTTCAAGAGTGGTTATCCTAAATAGGTTTGATTTCAAAATCAAAACCTATTTGGATAAGGATCAAATGTTAAATTTAAATGGTCATGCCACATGGGCGCCCATTACTAACATATATTGAGTGATTTTTTCATTATGTTGTAAAATTTCATAACACACAAGATTCGAAATGAAGAATATAATGAAAAAAATTACAAAATATTCTGTTAAGTAGCATAAGCTGTACTGCATAATGGACTGGACGTGTGTGATAATTTTTGCAATTTTTAAGAGCACTTACCAAAACTCGTGTACTTATTTTGAACCTATTTTTCAAATAAGATTAAAAACAAAATAAATTTAAAAAATAAAAATAAAATTTTGAAAGTTTAAAATCTTTTTTAACTGTGTTTTAGAAATATAATTTTACTTTACTAGTATATCACCTGTGCTATGTATAAGATAAAATAATATATTATTTAATAAAAATATGATAATTATATTTAATTTTTTTATATTATGTAAAATAAAAGTTAAATGGAAACTAGTCAATCGGGATTTTCTTAATTGTTTAAAATTAAGATAATCAAAAACATTAGTATGAGATATTGATCATAAGGTTTCTCACTAAAAATCTCATTTTGCTTATATAAATGGGAGTATAAGATTCACTTTATGTAAGTGAAACAATTCACTTTTTCTTTCTTTTCTCGATGTGGGATTATAAAATAAAATTTAAATAAAAGCTAGCCAATGAGGATTTTCTTAATTGTTTAAAAGTTAATAATTGTTTGGACGAAAAGTTTACTTTGAATCAAGCAATCTTAATTGTTTAATCTTTAATTAGGTCAATCTTCAATTTATTTAGATTCAAACAAATTTGACCAATATATTCTGATAAAATCGCAAAAATCACAATTAAACCAGCGAATCAGTCAAACCAAAAACAGTTCACCCTATCAGCTAGGTTAAAGGATCAACCAACTTATACAAAAATTAATTAATTAAAACTTTTAAATTTTATTTTAATTTTAAAATGTAGACTGTCTTGAACTAAAACATACATAACACTACAATATTAAATGAAAGTATAAGATTTATATTGTGAAACAACTCATTTTTTCCTCCTTTTCCTGATGTGAGATTGTAAAATAAAAGTTAACAGTTGTTTGGATGGGAAGTTCATTTCTAATAAAACAATTTCAGTCGTTCAATGTTTAATAAGGTCAATCTTAGTTTATTTCAAATCAAGCAAATCTAAGTAATATATTTTGATAAAACAGCTAAAACCGTGGTTAAATTAGTGAATCAGTCAAACCAAAAATGATTCAGCTTAATCACCTAAGTCGAAAAACCAACCAATTTACAACAAAATTAATTAATTAAAACTTTTAAATTTTATTTTAAAATTTGAACCATCTTAAACTAAAATATGGATAATATTATAATATTAAATGAGGGTATAAGATTCATTTTATATAAATGAAACAACTCAGTTTTATTTCTTTTCTCGATGTGGGATTGTAATTATTTTAAAGTTAAATATTATGAGAGTTTTAAAATCTCATAGAAAATTATTTTAAAAATCAAAACGTCTATGTTGTATTACAAAATAAAAGTTAAATGAAAACTAACCAATGGAGATTTTTTTAATTGTTTAAAATTAAGAACATAAAAAAAATGGTATTTATTATAGGGATTCTCATTAAAAATCTTTTTTTACTTATATAAATGGGAACATAAGATTCACTTTAAATAAGTGAAACAATTCAATTTTTCATTATTTTCCCAATGTGGGATTGTAAAACAAAAATTAAATGGAAGCTAACCAACGGGGATTTTCTTAATTGTTTTATTTTAAGAAATTTTAATAATTTATATAAATTAGAGCATAAGATTTACTTATGTAAATGAAACAATTCACTTTTTCTTCTTCCCCCCTCAATTTGGGATTGTAAAAGAAAAGGTAAATAGAAGTTAGCCAATGAGAATTTTCCTAATTGTTTAAAATTAAAAAAATTCAATAATTTTAGAATGAGGGTTTGGAACTTCTAGAATGCTACTCCCTTAAAACTCCCTTTATAAGATTCATTTTATATAAGTGAAACAACTCACTTTTTTTCTTTCTTTTCTTGATGTGGGATTGTAACACTTTATACAACTGAAACAACTCAGTTTTTCTTTATTTTCTCGATGTGAGATTGTAATTATTTTTAAATTAAATATTATGAAAGTTTTAAAATCTCATACAAAATTATTTTTAAAATCAAAATTATGTGGAATTGTAAAATAAAAGTTAAATGGAAGTTAGCCAATGAGGATTTTCTTAATTGTTTAAAATTAAGACAATAAAAAAAAATGAGTATGAGATATTGATCATAGGGTTTTTCATTAAAAATCTTCTTTTGCTTATATAAATGGAAACATAAGATTCACTTTATGTAAGTGAAACAATTCACTTTTCTTTCTTTTTTTGATGTGAGATTGTAAAATAAAAAGTATAGAAGCAAGCTAACATGAATTTTCTTAATTGTTTAAAATTAATAAAATTTAATAATTTTAAAATAAGAGTTTGGAGCTCATAGAAAACTTCTCCCTAAAAATCTCATTTTCCTTATATAATATATAGATAGATAGTGAAACAAACTTTACTTCTTTTTTTTTTTTCTCCCGATGTGAGATTATAAAATAAATTATAAACTAATTAGAGTTTTATTTTTATATGGTTAAATAGAAGTTAGCCAATGGAAATTTTTTTAATTGTTTAAAATTAATAAAATCAATATGAAAAATTGTGATTAAACCGGCGAATCGATCAAACCCAAAATGGTTCAGCTCGATCGGTTAGGTTAAATGACCAATCAACTTATACAAAACTTAATTAATTAAAACTTTTAAATGTTATTTTAATTTTAAAATTTAAACTGTCTTGAATTGAAGTATACACAATGCTACACTATTAAGATTCACTTTATATATGTGAAATTACTCGCTTTTTTTTTTCTTTTTCCAATGTGGGATTATAAAATAAAAGTTAACAATTATTTGAACGGAAAACAACTCATTTTTTTTTCCTTTTTTTTTCCCGATGTGGGATTATCAGATAAAAGTTAGCCAATGAAGAAAATTAGTATGAGATATTGAAACTTTCACAAGGCTCCTCACTAAATGAGATGAGTGTATAAGATTCCTTTTATATGAGTTAAACAACTCATTTTTTTTCTTCTTTCTTTTCCCGATGTGAGATTATCAAATAAAAGTTAGTCAATGAAGAAAATTAGTATGAGATATTGAAACTTTCACAAGGCTCCTCACTAAACGGGATGAGAGTATAAGATTCCTTTTATATGAGTTAAACAACTCATTTTTTTTCTTCTTTCTTTTCCCGATGTGAGATTATCAAATAAAAGTTAGTCAATGAAGAAAATTAGTATGAGATATTGAAACTTTCACAATGCTTCTCACTAAACGGGATGAGAGTATAAGATTCTTTTTATATGAGTAAAACAACTTTTTTTTTTTTTTGCTTTCTTTTGCGGATGTGGGATTATCAAATAAAAACTAGCTAATAGAGATTTTTTTAATTATTTAAAATTAAGAAAAATCAAGAAAATTAGTATGAGATATTGAAATTCTTACAAAAACTCTTTACTAACAACATCATTTTCCTTATATAGGCCTTGTTTGACAAAGGCTAAAATAGCTAATTTGAGGCTAAAATCCAAAAAAAATACAAAATAGGCTAAACTAGTTAATAAGATAAAATGTCACATCAAATTTATAATCATTTTACTTTTTCTCTTATAAACTTCATATCCAATTATTAAAAAATTCAACTATCTTTCTAAATATAAAAATTTTAACCTACTAAAATAATAAAAAAATTAAAATAATCTACTAAAATAGCCAACTGCTCAAACAAGACCATAATAGATGTTAACTTTGTATAAAATTGCATTCTAAAAGGGAAAAAAATTATTATAAAATTAAAATAATGATTTTAAAGCACAAATGAAAATTTGTTATTTGCCTGAAGCAAATACATTTCATGGTCCCAAATTCTTTCATTTTCACCCAAAACTTTCCCGGAAACCAACCGGACATTTACATGCACAATCTCCCAAGACTCAAGTCTCTCTCCCTCTTACAACTTAATCACCCACCAAAATCTCTCTCCCTTCTCAAACAAATCCACGCCCAACTCCTCACCAACGGCCTCAAATCCTCTTCCATTCTCGCCCAATTGATCCAACGTTACTGTGCCGTCTCAACCCCACTCTCCACCCACCATGCCCATCAAATTCTCACCCACTTTCACTATCCAAATCTCTATCTCTTCAATGTTCTGATCAGATCTACCAATCCAAGAGACTCAATTCTCGTTTTTTCCAATTGGGTCTCAAATTCTATACTCTCATTCGACGATTTCACTTACATTTTCGTTCTCGGAGCCTGTGCTCGATCTTCTTCCACAGTTTCAGCATTATGGGTTGGAAAACAAGTCCATGCTCGTGTGATCAAACATGGGTTTCTGTCAAATCTGATGATCCAAACCACAGCTATACATTTCTATGCGAGTAATAAGGATGTTTTCTCGGCACGCCAAGTGTTTGATGAAATGTCTGTGAGAAATAGTATTACTTGGAATGCGATGATAAAGGGCTATTGTTCACAGAAATTGAGAGTTTGTGAACATGCCCGCAATGGATTGTTGTTGTTTAAGGACATGTTAGTTGATATCAGTGGATTGAAACCAACTGATACGACCATGATTTGTGTTCTCTCCGCGGCTTCTCAATTGGGTGTTTTAGCAACCGGTGCTTGTGCTCATGGGTATGTCGAAAAGACAATGTGTGCCCCTGATGGCGATGTGTTTATCGGGACTGGCCTTGTTGACATGTACTCCAAGTGTGGTTGTCTTGAAAGTGCTTTGTATGTATTTCAAAGAATGGAAGAAAAGAATGTGTTGACTTGGACAGCCATGGCGACAGGGCTAGCCATTCATGGGAAAGGAAAACAAGCGTTGGACCTTCTGGAAGCCATGGAAGTTTCTGGAGTAAAACCCAATGCGGTCACCTTCACTAGCTTGTTTTCTGCGTGTTGCCACGCAGGGCTTGTTGAAGAAGGGCTTTGTCTGTTCCACAGCATGGAGAACAAGTTTGGTGTTGAGCCTCTAATACAACACTATGGTTGTGTTGTTGACCTTCTTGGTAGAGCCGGGCACTTAGAAGAGGCATTCAACTTTATAAAAGATATGGGTTTTGAACCAGACGTGGTTTTGTGGAGGAGTTTGCTTAATTCCTGCAAAGTTCATGGGGATGTTGTGATGGGTGAGAAGGTGGGAAAGATTCTACTCCGGTTGGTGCCAGAGAAGGGTGTTGTGGAGTTGAGTGATGCAAGTGAAGACTACATAGCTTTGTCAAATGTTTATGCGTCTGCAGAGAAGTGGGAGGATGTGGAAATGGTTAGAGATGTGATGAAGATTAAGGGGATTCAAACTAAATCTGGCTTGAGTTCAGTTCAATCTTTTTGCAGCCATCTCTTGGATGGATAGTGGATCAACTTTGGAGTAATAGCTCTATTTCGGATTTAAGATGACATTTGGTAACATTGTCAGATTCTTGTTTGTAGCTCTATTTCGCAGCTAAGTTTGCATTTTGTAGCGTTGTCAGATTCTTGTTTGGTGGGTTGCTGGAAGGGTTGGCGGATTGTGGGGGTGGAAGAAAGGGTGGGAAGTGAGGTGGCCGGAGGATGAGGGGTGATCGGAGGTGGTGGTCAAAGGGGGCCGGAGGATGAGAATGAAAACTTGTTTTGAAAATAAAGTAAAAACACTTTCTTTTTAATTTGGATTGATAGGAATTATAAAAACATTTGGTTTGTTTTTTTTAACACAATTTTGAGAAGTTTTTTTGAAAAAATTGAAACTAGTTTGATGAAAATAAACATAATAAATAAATAAAAAATTATAATCTTTAAAAGGAATTTTGTCCTCCAAAAGATAAAATTATATAAAATGATAAGTGTTTTATTTTTTTACCGAATTAATTGTTTATTTAAAAAAAAATGAAAATCAAGCCAATAGAGCCAAGTATTCAATGACGCCCATCATTTTTGTATCATTTTTATTTTTGCACAAAAATAGTTTTAAATTCCCCCCTATGTCTGAGGTACCTGTATTTAAATTTTAAAATGTCAAGAATTTTATATTAATTAGATTCGAGGTGACGCGTCAAAGTGACCCGTACTTAAATTTTGAATAACCAAGAGTTTAGTCCAAACCTTTTTAGCCACTTCCAACATTTTATTGTCCTCTATGAAATTTTCACACTTTTATGAAGAAATTTTGCCCCACTCTACACAATTCTCTTGAGAGATGCAAAACCATGCTATTCTCATCAGATTAGTATGGTAAGGTTATTTTTACCATGTCAAAAATACCAAGTTAAATAATGGTTCAAATGGTAAAAATGGTTTCCTGTATATATTTAGTTTACTATTTTGCTTTGCCATGATTCAAGTATCATGACAATTACTTGCCAGCCTGTGTTCCGGATGTTTTCTGTTGGGATTTGGGATCCCGCCCAAGACCTTATAGAAATTATTCCATGCAGAAAAGCACACCCACACTCAAGGAGACACAATATTTAACATGGTTCGGCCTCAATGCCTACGTCAACGGGAGAGTAGCCGGTTATCACTATAACAATGGAGATATTATAGAAAGATTACAATAGAGGAGGAACTCACACTCTCCTCACTCACCCACTCACCCGTCTCCTTCGCTCACACCGAGGGAGACGGTCTCTCCGCCTCACATATCTCACTCTCTGTGGCTTGCTCTGCTCTATCTCTCAAACCCTCCCCTCAGCCTCCATTTATACACTAACAGAATGGAGATGGAGAGGCTGGCCTTGCATATGGCCAGCTATCTTGTGTGTTGGCTTCACATGGCCAGCTCATGTGTGTTGGCTTCCTAACATGGCCAACCTTGCAACACATGGAGGATCACCCCTCACATGGGGTGATGATATCCCACATATATGACCCATTGTGTCACGGGCTGGGCGCTTGTCATCCTCCCGAGAAGCCGGCTCCACGAGTGGTACTGCGTACCCCCGTGCATTATGCCTGAGGACCAACTCAGGAGATGCGATAGGGATCTACCCTGCCTACCTTGCCGCTCACAAACTAATGCGCTTGCAAGGTGCTTGGTGTAAAACTAATCCTACATCCTCAACTCAACTCACACCACTCTCTGATTTGGAGAGAGCCTCTGCTCCTATCTCCCACAGATCTCTTCCATGCTTCCTGTCTCGGATGTCTTCAGCATAGTCTGCATCTCCTCACTGAGATGCTTGCACCCCCTGAAGCTAGAGATAATACACCAGAGATATAAGAGGAGGAGGGAATCCTACATCCTCAACTCAACTCACACCACTCTCTGATTTGGAGAGAGCCTCTGCTCCTATCTCCCACAGATCTCTTCCACGCTTCTGTCTCGGATGTCTATACCTGCTATGCTTGAACTTGCGCAACCAAGATATCCGACACCCCCTGATTGGATGTCCTGCACCCCCTGCTGGGATGCCCTTGACTGTCATGCATTACCGTGCAACTCCTTGCATGATGAACACTGGAGCAACTAGAAAACTTCAGAGTTTGACACATCAACATCCTCAATTTTCCTTGCTCGGAGCTTATTTCTGAACAACCAGCCTTTGCTTTCTGCACTTCAGAACAACCTCCTGGCGTTTCCACATACGCTTGTTGTCTGTGCTGCAATCCCTGATGTTTGGTTCTGTCTCACTTGTACGTCCGTATTGATGTTTGACAGTTAGCCCTTCTGCCAAGACAACTTCCACCGGTCTGTACAAGTTATCACTATGCAACTCCGTGCATAGTGCTCGCACCCATGGCTTCTGGTCTCCCTGCGTCAAGCTCGCTTGAGAGATCCGCATCAACTCTATCTTCCGCTACCATGTTACTCAAGAAACCACCATAGAGAAAAAAACTTGCCACTCCTTGACGCACACTCTTGCGTTTTACCTGTCTCAATTTCTCTGTCTGGAAGTTCCTGTGAACTTTCAACAACCCGTTGCTGCATACTCCTCTTGCGCCTCTGTACGATACTCTACCGTACCCTTGCACTGCTGCACGTCTGCATTTGTGCTTCTGCGCTTAGTATGCTCCTCTGCAACTATTGTTCTACACGTCCACGTACCACCAGTACTTACTCGTATACAGTAGCTCCAACAGCCACAACATTTCCCTGAGCCTGAACTGGTTACCAAATCATCTATCCGTCGATGAATGGTCTTCTCTTTTGATTGAACCAGATCCTCCAACGAACTCCGGGGATAATCATCTTTGCAATCCTCTGATCACCCCTGACCAATCCTGATCTCCCTTGATTTGCCATTTGATCAAGCCTGATCTCCTCTGGTCTTCAATGATCTATCTCAATCTGTATCTGGTTGTCCAATCTGGTCAGAATCTGCCCATTCTAACCTCTTCAGTGAATCCGCAGCGTTCCACAATATCCAGCAACCTTACTTCGAGTATTGAAGATGACAAACACCCATGTTTTGACAATCTTTCCAAACCGTTCAGAATTTCACTATTCTGACCTCGCGGTTGCGTCCGGAGCGGTCCGTTTAGCTAGAACCAAACTTTGTTGCATTTTCGGGGACCTCACTGAAAACTATCCCCGAAAGTTGGGCCACACCACAATTTTCTAAAAATTCTGGGCCAAATTGCAATTTTCAGAAGTTCAGGGAATATTCCGTGTACCAACAGAATATTCCGTCCACTGCCCTTGATGCCGTTCGCCACTTTAATCTGTCTTCTTTTTACAGAAACTCCGTCTCCAAAATCTGATCGTACGGATGTGTCCGGAATACTCCAAATAGTCGGAAACCACTATTGGATCACCAAAAACGGACTCCAAATGGCTTCGATCTCGCCAAAACATTTTGTACGCCTCAGATCTGCGGCTGTACCTTCGCCGCAAAGCACTGGATCCTTCCTCCTGCGGCTGCACCATTGCTGTGTCGCACTGGATCCCTTCTCTGGATGCTGACGTGGCAGCTGACTGTGCTGCCACATGGCGACCACTTGCTGACGTGGCGATGACAGACTGTCACGTGGCGCTGACGTGGACTGCCACGTGTCGCTGACCTGTCTGCCACGTGGCAGTACGACTGGCATGCTTATGCTTACGTGTCTGATGACGCGGCTGCTGACGGGGCGCGCGTGCCTTACACGCGCCTTCCCCCACTCGTCTTCTTCCTTCATCCGCGCATGGGGCGCGTGCCTGAGACTGGGCCGACGCGCCGACTCTCTTCGCGGCGCGTGGGAGCGCGTGCCGAGACTGGGATTCACGCGCCAACTTCCAGAGGCGCGTGATGGCGCGTCCGGTCTCCGTTGGGTGTCTGCTTTATATTTCTAGACTCCTCTCGTCGAGCCCTTGCTCCTGGTATGCTCAAAATCTGATTTCGAGCAATACGATTTCTGGGCAGTTTCAAACATCACGCTGTTTTTGTTTCGAAACGCCGCCGACGAGGCTCTGATACCAATTGTTGGGATCTGGGATCCCGCCCAAGACCTTATAGAAATTATTCCATGCAGAAAAACACACCCACACTCAAGGAGACACAATATTTAACGTGGTTCGGCCTTAATGCCTACGTCCACGGGAGAGTAGCCGGTTATCACTATAACAATGGAGATATTACAGAAAGATTACAATAGAGGAGGAGCTCACACTCTCCTCACTCACCCACTCACCCGTCTCCCTCGCTCACACCGAGGGAGACGGTCTCTCCGCCTCACATATCTCACTCTCTGTGCTTGCTCTGCTTTCACTCTCAAACCCTCCCCTTAGCCTCCATTTATACTCAATCAGAATGGAGATGGAGAGGCTGACTAGCACATGGCCAGCTTGTGCCAACTTCTTCTTCACATGGCTTCCTAACATGGCCAGCTCATGTGAGTTGGCTTTGCCAACTCTTGCAGCACATGGAGGATCACCCCTCACATGGGGTGATGATATTCCACATTTTCTTCCCTTACTTGGTTTGTATTTGAGAAACATGTTTTGAGATAAAAAGTACGAAAATTTGTTTGGTTTGGTTTTTTTTCAAAAGATGTTTTGAAAAATTATTTTGAGAGAGAGTTTTGAAAAAAGTGATTGATTTGATGTGTATGAGAGAGAAATTTGTTTAGAAAACTTGTAAACCAAACAAGTTTTGGAAAAAAAATTTTGAAAAATTTGTTTGGTTTGATTACTTTTAAAAAATTATTTATAGAAAATTTTTTCCAAATTTTTTTGAGAAACACAAACCAAACAAGGCCGTCTTTACCAGATGACTCAAGCGTATACTGCGGTCACAAATATACTTTGGTAAGCTATGATTGCTTTGTCAGTTGAACCTAGGAATGATGCACTTCAGCCCTATGCTGCCCATCTTCATAACAAGGGCTTGCCAACAGTAATTCCTTAACTTTTTTGTGAATTCTTTGTAGTGTGAAATTTGTTAGTTTTGTGATTCTGCATTTATCAGATAACATTTCTGAGTTGGTGTTTAAATCCCTTCTAGAATTCCTTAGTCTTCAATTTCTTAACCATTTGTTTTGACTTTGATTGTGATGTACTAGATTCCAATTACTCTGAAGAAAGAGGAGTCGTGTAATCCATTCCTTAGCACTTCAAGTATGGAAATCCGCCAGTCGCTCAGAAGTCCAGACACTGCAAACGATGCAGAAGCATTGGGTGCTATCCGCCAAGCAAAGGATAACTTCTAGAATTTATCATTATTTGTGTACAGAAGTAGTCAGCTCATCTAATCGTGGAG